CAAGAAACATGGGAGGAGTGAATGGTGTGCGGCCCTTTTGGAGATGGGGGCTGCTCAGGGGTGGGTTTCATGCTGAAAGCCTCTGGTTTTGCATTGACTCTCAGGTTATCTTGCAAACCTGACTTGAAGCAGCCCTGTGGTCACTGATCCCAGCCTGCAACCCCTGGAGGTGCTGCAGATGGGGTAGGGCAGGGCTGCCCCTGCACCCACTGCATCCCCTCCTGGGACTGGAGGGCAGCAGGGGCACAGGGACCCCCGGTCCTGCAGCCCTCTCCCTGCCCAGCCCCGTGTTCCTGCTCTGCCCGAGTGCTCACCGCTCCCGATGCAGGCGTGCGCGGCCGGGCTCCGTCTGCGGTTCCCTTATAATTTAGGAGCCTTCCTCACATTAATCTTTTTGTTTTTATTTTGACAAATGCGTGTTTCCAGGAAGTTGCTGGGGTCAGAGCAGCATCTGTTGCTCGTTATTTTGGGGGATGCAGAGGGTCTTTGTGAGGGTTTCCAAAGCAACAAGGAATTAAGTGGTTTGTAACGCAGAGAGCAGGGAAGAGGGGACGGGCTGGGGCTTCCCGAAGATGCTGATGAAAATCGGATCAGTTCGCCTCTATTTTCTTGGGAACTCGATCTGTTTTTCTTGTACCACTGTCAGCCCGGCTCCCGTATTTCCAGTGCTTGGCCACTGCACGATCCGTGTTCCAGTGCTGGGATTAGCATGGCCGCAGGCAGATTTGCTTTCCCCAGGCCCGTGCCGGGTTGTGCTGCGCCAATGGGGAGGATTTGGGATCTGTGGGACGGGAACAGCGCAGGTCCCCTGGTGTGGGTCTGGCTGGGGACATGGGACAGAGACCCCCGGGATGAGCACAGCCGCAGGGATGTCCCTGATCCCCCCCCCACTCCCCAGTCACACCGTGAATTACCCTGTGGTAAAGCTGCTTTCTCTGTCAAAACAACCCGAGGAGGGTCCGGTGCCAAGGCGAGGAGCCCAGGAGATTTATCGCTGAGGAAATACTTTCTCCAGCGAGGGCTGACGGCCGCAGCAGGAACAATGGGAGCTTCGCAACGTGAACAAAGCTGATTTCGTTCTTCTTTTTATCAATGCGTTTTCCTTGCGGATCCTCCCTTCCTGGAAGTGGGAGATGCGGCTTCCCCCCGCGCGCCGGCCGTGTAATCAGCAGGAATGGCCATATCCTGGCTGGGAAGCGAGCTGTGAAACGCTGTCGCCCGCTGTGATTTATGAGCCCGTGGCAGCGGCCAGCGGCGGGGCTGGCCCGGGGACAAGGTGCCAGGGCGCGTGCAATATCCATGTATTCTTTCTCCTCCTCGCCGGGTCCCCGGGGAGCCGCCAGAGGAAGTGAATGGCTCAGACGCACACGTTCCACTTGGGGGTTTATTTCTTATTGCCGTGTCTTTCCAAATGCCTTTAGCAGACGCGCGAGCACAATGGGGTCGGGCGGTGCTGAGCATCCCGGCCGGGTGGCAGGAGCCTGCCTGGAAAGGTCAGCGCAAAGGGTGTTTGCTTGGGGACACGGGGACAGCCTGTCCTGAGCGGGCAGAGCCCTTCCCTAACAGTGAGGGCTCGCAGGGGCCGCGCTCGTTGCCACAGAGGGGCAGAGTAAGGTGACTCCATCTCCTCCAGTGCCGACCAACAGCCTTGTTGTTGGCACCCATGGGAGGCAGCCGGCACTGAGCAGGTCCCTCACCATGTCTGGAGCCGTAGCACCATTCCCAGGGATCCAATGCCTGTAAGAACGGCCAGTTTCCTTCCCAGGCTCCTACCACCCCGCATTATGCAATCCTCACCCAATAGTGAGAACATGAAATAATTATTCCAAGTGATCAGATTTTAATTATGCAACACAGAGGATGATTATTGCGCGCCAAATTGGTGCCGAGTGCTTAGTTATGTATATGCCAAATTTAGTCTATACCATTATACCCAGTGGGTGGCCGTAGACAATCAGGAAGTAATTAGTTTTGCTGGAGGTTGCTCGCCTGCCTGGGTCGCTGTGCTGTCTGGGGAGCGTCTTGCTGCGCTCCGTGAATACCGCGGGCTGCGAGTTCAATACCGTCTTTTTGTGAGGAGCTAATAAGCTGTCTGCATGGCGGCCTGTAATTAGCGCTGTCGATATTCATTTGGAGACGGAGCCCGCGCTCCGCCGGCAGCGCTTCCCTTTGTCGAGGCGCTCGGTCCCTCCGCGGTGACGGGAGCGGAGGGATGGGGATGCGGCTGGTGCTGGATGCGGGTGCGCAGCATCCGTGGGTGCCCGCTGAGGGAAGCACCCAGGTGTGAGGGGTTGAGACCATGAGACTGCCTCATAGCCATCCCTGTGCCACCCTGCACCCGTGCTCTATGGGGGGAGCTGCTGTTAGTCCCTGGATATGGGGTGTCCAATGGTGCCCTGCCCTGTGGCTCCAGCAGGGAAGGCTGAGCTGGTGTGTGATGTAGGGGAGATGAGGATGTGCAGGGGCTTTGGCTGGGGTGGCCGTTCCCTTCCCAAAGCCATGGGCTGCTTTGGGAGCCCTGAGCATCACTGGGAGATGATGTGGTGCTGCGTGGTTGCATCCTTCCAGCCGGCCTGATTCTGCATGGTCCAGGTTCATCTGCTGGGGTCTCACACCTAGAACTCTTGGTGCATATTGGCTGGGAGGTCACCGGGGCATTGTCCCACTGCATGCTGCTTGCAGTGGGGCAGTGTTGTGGGGCACTGGGAATGGGCCTCTCCATGGGAACAGCCCATGGATCTGCCAGGCAGGAATTGTCCGAAGTACGGAGCAACTTTTACCTCTGTTACACAAAGGAAACTTTCCTCCTCTTTTTGTCGGAGATGCTCACTCCATTGAGATGATTGGCATACTGGAGAGCTGAGAAACTAAATTGTTTATACACTAATGAATAGAAGCTTGATTGCAAGATCCTGTTTGGAAAATTATAGTGCTGAATTGAAGCCGTACAATTACATCCAAAATGCTGCATATTCATTTCATCTGCTTTGCATAGAGATTAACAAGCGAGCCCTAAAGCAGACTCTGAAATTAAAGCTAACACCAGATTTAGTCACAGGTTACAAACTAAATGGCATTGTTTGATGGATGTGAATCTTTACCACCTGCCTGCCTGATGATTGCTAGCAGCTTACCAGACAGCAGAGGAAAAAGTTTCTTCCCATGAAGGAAGCATAATAAGATGCTGGGCTGGAAGCGCCCCCTCCCCGTGCAGGCAGCCCCCCCAGGCAGATGTCTGCAGTGGGCCTAGGGAAAGGGCTCCCTGCTCCTGCCTCCATCGCGCTGGAGGCTGCATCCGCCCCATGGAGGGTGGCTCAGGACCACCACAGAGGCTGTTGGTCCATCCAACACCCAGGGTTGGGCCGGGTCCCCCCTTCTGCATGGCAGGAGTCTCATGGGGTCCCCATCCATCCTCTGTGCTGTGTCACCCATGGGGTCCCTTCCTCACCTCAAAGGGGCTTTGCTGCCTGCCCGTGATCTGCCTCCTCCCTGTTGTATTCCCTTCCTCAGCGTGGGGCCAGCGGTTGTTTCGGGAGCAGAAATGGGGACAAGAAAAGGCAAAGGGGGTGTGTGGGGAGCAGGGGCTGCCTGCTCTGGTGGGGCTGCGGCAGGCAGCAGCAATTGGTGCCGTGCAGCACAGTCTGAGTGCTGCTGGGCTTGGGGTTTGCATTGGAAATGGGCCCCATCGCTGATGGAGGAACCTGTTGGATGTGTGGGGACACGGGACCCACTATGGGGCTGCTGGGAGCTGTGTTTGAACTGGGGCTGTGGATGGGAGGGTGCAGGGGACAGGCTGGTGGCCTGGGGCAGCCTCCAATCACAGCAGGGCTCACTCTTCTTTGGGAATACCTGGAGGTTCCCAATCCATGTCCAAGGGCACCGGCACAGCTTGGGGCTCCCTGTGCGCATCCCCCGGTGGGGCAGAGACCACAGCACTCGCTCTGCAAAGTGGACACCTTTATTTTATAGCCTTTAAAAGTCAGTTACCAGCTGCAGTGACTTCATTCCTAGGATGGGCTGGGGCCGTCTCTACCGCACTATGGGACAGCCCAGCCCCAGCTTTACAAGCCCCAGTGGGGATGCTGCCAGCTCCTCCCGGCCATGGCTGGCTTTGGGGTGCATGTCCCATCTCCTCCCATCTTCCCCCCCGCCATGGGAGCAGCACCGTGCCCGGATCGGGCACTGTGGCTGCTCCCAGGCTCCATTCATGCTTGGCACGTTCCCATCTTGACCCTCCAACACTTTCCCAACGCCCTCTTGCAAACAACCGAGGTGGATGAGCATCTCCTTGGGTCCCTCCCCAAAACCTGCCCAGGGTCAAGGGGCCATTTGGTGCCCTTCACCCAGAGCTGGGCTTCTCTTTTACACCTTAACTCCTCCCAGGACACTTGCACTTCCGAGACCAAACCCCAACCACACCACAGCACCCCGAAACCAGCGCGATGGAGCAGCCACCGGCAGCCCGAGGGGCACGGGAGGGCTCTCCCCCACTGACCCCAAGGCACGGGTGCACCTCCCTCTGGGGGGTCACCCACTGTAGCCCAGGGCTCCAGTGGCCAGCTCTGCACCCTATCATTGGCCTCTGGGGGGTGGCCCCAGTGCTGGGCCATGGGAAAAGGCACCTGTGGAGGGAGGCAGTGGTGGCTTTGCCCTGTGGGGACACAGAACTGGGGCTGCTGTCCCCAAAAGCTGGGCTGGGCACAGCATGGACCGTCCTTGGCACCTGCCTTGGGGAGCCGGGTGCAGGAGCAGCATTGTGCCTGTGCTGCCTGCTCCCACTCGCAGGTGACAACCGATGAATGGGGTTATGACAGCAGCCTCCTGTCCGGGTGTTCACAGCCCTGTACTGTGCCATGCCCCTGCCTGGCTGCTCCCATTGTTCAACACCCAGGGGGGGTTCTGCTGCGGAGCATCCCAAGGGAATGCTGGCTGGGTGGGAACGTCCCCAAGGCGAGTCAAACCAGCACCATCCCTGGCTTCCAGCAGTGCTGCAGAGCAGCCGATGGCACACATCCTGCCAGGGTTTGGTGCAGGGCTGCCTGCAGCCACCCGGCCAACAGAAGGGATGCAGTGATGAACACGAATTGTCTGCCTGGAGCAGGGACCCCAGGCAGCATCCTGCTGTGTGAGCAGGGACAGGACAGGACAAGGCAGCAGGAAGGCAGTGTGAGCTGGTACAGACCGAGGGCATGAGCTGGCCAGGTCACATCCTGTGTGGCAGCCCCATACATGGGATGGGAACAGCAAAGGGACCTGCTTCCCAGCCAGGGCACCAGGACCCCCAACCGCAGTGTGGGCTGGTGGAGCAGTGTGGATGGAGCTGCTGGGAGCCAGCTGCCACCTACTGCAGTCCCACTAGGAGGGGACCCTGGTGGGCCCCAGGGCAGCGTGCAGCTCTGGTTCAAGCAGCTCATCTTCAGAGAAGCTGATGTGCAAGCACGTATTGTCTGCAGGGGAGAAGGGCAGCATGCTGTCCATGGGGCTGGCCAGGGCAGCCAAGTCCTTGGCCAAGGCCTCAGTGCCTGCAGGGTCATGGATGCTGCCCAGGGGGGACATCTGCCCGCTCTCCCCAGTCCTGTCCTTGCCCAGAGCGCGCTGGCAGGTCCCAGCTGGGATGGGCTCCGTGCTGGAGGCACTGCTCCGTGCGGGAGTCCTTGCCTCAGGGTCCAAGAGGGTGAGGGAGCTGGCAGTGATGCTGGTGAGGCTGGAGATGCTGGGGCTGGGCAGGCTCATGTGGGCAGCGCTCTCGGGCTTCACCTCCACTTCCAGGCTCGGGGAGGTCTTGCTTGACCTCTTCCGTAGGATGGGAGGTGGCGGGTTCAGCTTGGGAATGGGCTGCGGCCGCCTGGGAAGGAAAGCAGAGAGAGGAGGTGATGGGCAGGGGTGTTCCCGCTCCAGCTGGGGGAGGTGGTGGAGGCACATCCCACCTGTCCTCGTCCCCTCTGTCCGTGTCGTCCCCCTTCTGCCGGCTGCTCCCATTGAGCAGAGCAAAGTCGCTGACCTCGGAGCCCTCCACGCGCCGGCTGAGCCCGTCCTGCCCCTCCAGCACCGCCAGGCACTCGTCCCCATCCCTGCTGCCGCAGCGCTGGCCGCCCCTCTCCAGGCTGAGGAGGTTGAGGTAGGAGTCCCCAGGATCCAGGGCCGGCAGTGAGCCGGGGCCCACGGGGCTGCCCAGGATGCTGGCGGGGCTGGAGGTGGACGGGAGGTGGATGTCCAGGCTGTAGTGGTTCTTCAGGTTCAGGGACAGGGACTGAGCCAGGGACAGGTTTTGCAGGGAGCGGTCAACTGGTGAGAGAGGGACAAAAAGGGGGTGTGAAGAGCTGGGGACCTCCAACACAGCTGCTGCCCTGGACCATGAGGGGTGCAGAGATGCTCCAAAGCCCCCCCCCCCCCGAGCCTGTTGGGCTTGTACTGGGAGCACCCCAACTGCTCTCTGGAACCATAAGGATTGCAGGGGTGTTCTGAAGGGCTGGTGCTGGGAGCATCCCACCTGCATCCCAGGACCCCAAGGGGTGCAGAGATGCTCCAAAGCCTCCCAGACCTTATTGGGATGGCACCAGAGAGCGCCCAAATTGCTCCCTGTGACTGCAAGTAGTGCAGTGATGCTCCAAAGCGACCCCATAGCCTGCTGGGAGCATCCCAACTGCTCCCTGGGACTGTAAGGAGTGCAGAAATGGTCCAGAGGGATGATGCTGGGAGCACCCCAGCACCCAATCCCCTTACCCCAGGGTGAGGCTGGGCACAGTGGACGCGCCACCCCTGGCTTCCCCGCCGTGCACTCACCTGGCTGCCGGTTCTCGTCCCGGGCCTCCAGCGCCGTCAGCTGCCGCACCAGCAGCGAGACGTGCTGCAGCAGGTCCCGGTTGGTCAGCAGGAGCTGCCGCACCCGGGCCTGAGCCTCGATCCGAGCCGCCGTTTCGGCCGCCAGTTGGTCCTTCAGCAGCTGCACCTGCGGGACGGGGCGATGGGGACCGGGATGATGCGGGACGGGGCGATGGGGACCGGGATGATGCGGGACGGGGCGATGGGGACCGGGATGATGCGGGACGGGGCGATGCGGGCGGGGACAGGGAGCCGCGGCGCTTCGGCGCCCCCTGCCGGCCCCGACGCGCACCCCACCGGGACCCCCTGAGCCGGTCCAGCGGCGGACGGGGGATGCGGTTGCATCCCGGGCCTGGTGGAACGGGATGGAGGGGATCTGCTGATCCCCGGTAATGTGGAATGTCGAGGGGGGACCCCCGCTCTGATGCCGGTTTGCAGGAAGCAGCTTGGTAGGGATGGCTTCCGAAACTTGGATGAAATGGGAACTGGTGGCTCTGCTGGGTCCCCTGTCACCCTGTTACAGCAGCTTGGGCTTATGCATGCAGCCAGCTCCGTGTCTGTGAGCTCCCTGTACCATTCCCACAGTGTCCCCTTTATGAGCCCAGCCTGGCCGGAGGCTGGAGCAGGGAGAGGAGAAGGGCTGGTGCTGCCCCAGGGGGGCAGGACACAACACGTACCTGGGCCACGGCCACCTGCGTCTGCTGCTGCTGCTGGAGGAGCTGCTGCTGCAGCAGCTGGAGGCAGTGCTGGGAGGCCAGCGGGGTGATGGAGGCCGCGGAGCAGGGGCTGCTGGGGCTGAGCAGCGGCTGGGAGCCAGCCGGGTGCAGTGAGCAGTTCTCAGCATCCTGGGCACAAAGGAACAGGCAGGGTGAGCGGAGGGACCAGGCAGGGATTTGGATTGTGTGTCCCCGTGGCACCGCGGGTCTGTTGAGGGGACAGCCCTGGGCTGTGTGTCAGGCTCTGCACGTCTGTGTGATCCATGGGGGATGTATTTTGGAGTGAGTCCACTCCCAGAGAACTGCAGGGCTGAATCATCTGTGTCTGACTGCACCTCCAAATAGGGAGGGCAGGACCCCAGGGAGGAGGTGTCAGATACCCCATCACTTTCCCCATGATGGGGCTGCCCAGGCTGGACTGTATTCCATTGCTTGACACATTTGTCAGTGGCAGCAGTGGTTGTGGCAGGGCCATCAGTGTATTAAAAGTGGTCCCAGCAGTGGAGATACTGGCATGAGAAGAGCAGTGCTCCCACTGAGCGCTTCCAGAGCAGCTCCTGACAGCCACGAGCCCCCTGCACCTCATCGTGGTGCTCAGAGCCTGGTTCTGCTGGGTTGGCACAGGGTGGGTGAGCTTAGAGCCACCTCCCGTGCCCTGGGGACCCTGCAGTGGCCCCATGCATGGCACTGGGGGTCTCAGCAGGGAGCCTCCCACCCTGGCACAGGGTGTTTAGGGACAGTTTAGTGGGTGCTGCCTTTCTGCCCCCTGCTCTCCCTGCTTGGGCAGCTCCAGGCCCTGAAGGAAGCTGCAGGGAAGCTCTGCCTTTCCAGGCACGGAAATGAATCCCATTGAGTGCATTTCACCGCAGCTGGTTCCAGGCAGGCCCTGCAAGCGATCCGATTGTGTGAGATGAAGCGATGCCATTCAGGCCGCCGGGAAGCGCGCACAGGGGAGCTCTGCAGAGCAGCTATTCATCAGGGTGAAACCACTGCTCGTGCTGAATGCGGCCTGGGTGCCTGTGCTGCCAGGCTGGGACCCCTCAGGGATGCTGCTCCCTAAGCCTTGGGGTGAGGGAAGCCAGGTGTCGCTGTCAGCAGTCTGATGAGCAAACAGGGGCACAGAAATGCACCCTGAATGGCAGGGAAACGGTTGTCTCACCAGACACCTCCTTTTAGTTTCTGGCTGTTGTGTGGATGCTGCTGCAGGAGGAAGGTCCTGCCTAGCACTGGGTGATCATTCCAGCAGAGCCCATGTGTGCTCTGCCCTGCCTGTGCTCACCCAGGCTGTTTGAAGCCTGCTCAGCCATGCCCATGCCTCCTGCCTCTCCTGTCCCAGCACTGGGACACAGCTTAGTTGCAAGGAGCAATGGGGGGTCTGCAATGGGGTCTCCATGAAAGGCCCTCCAAACCAAACTATGATACAGTGACCCTGAGCAGAGGGACCCCTGCAGAGGCAGAGCACAGCGACTGTCCCCCAGCCCACCCCTATTACCTGGCAGTTCTTATCCTTTGAGGCTTGCCCAGGTTTCAGCAGGCCGAGGTCACCCCTGGCACCTGGCAGCTCTCCAGGTCCCCTCTCGGACACACAGATGCCATCAGAGTTGATGCCAACCTCATCCATGATCTTGGAGCCCTTTATCTGGTGAACTTCAAAAGAGACGGACACATAAACCCAAGCCCCCTCTGTGCAGGATCACAGCAGGAACCCAGGGCCTGGAGCAGGGCTGTCAGCCAGGCTGACAGCCCAGGGACAATGGCCAGGACATGCCCCAACCCTCTCCATGCTGCAAAGAGGCAGGAGGAAGGGAACAAGGCAGATCCTCAGCGTGCTGGACAATGGGGCTTAACCTCAGTGCTCCTGGTGCCCAGGATGAGAGGGCAGAGAGGGCAGAACCCCCATGCCCCCCATCTGAATGGAACCAAAGGTCTTGCTGTCATTAGAGCTGGCCCATGAAGGACCTGCCTCCCTGCAGGTCCCCCCCTCCCAAAGCCCCCCACTGCAGAGGGGTCTCCCCCCGCCCCACAGGGACCCACACATCACCTTCCAGGGGCTGCTCCTCGGCTGACTTGTCGCTGGCGCCGTCCGCCTGCCCGTCGGCGTTCTGCAGCGCGTGCTGCAGGCTCAGCTTGTGGCACACCTCGAAGGCCTGTCCCACCGTGCGCACCACGCGCATCGCCTGGCTCTGCGGAGCAAGCCCATGGCATGCTCAGACCCACTGTGGCCACTGGATGAGGCCCAGGGGCAGGAGGGGACAGACACCAGGCACGTTGTGTTGGGGACATTCAGCACTGGTGCTGCCTTGGTCTCCCCTCATGGATCTCCATCCAGTGGCTACTTGGGCTCCCTTGGAGACCTCCCCCCGGTAGCCCCAGGAGCATCCTACCTTCTTCTTTGACTTGAAGACGTTGCACCTGAAGGAGTTGTTAGCGCCGTCCCTTGCGATGTAACTGAATATTTTCAGGTCTTGCGAGTCGTGAGACACGTAGAAGATTCTGGATGGGAGAGAGACAAAGGGAATTAAACACCCAGGGGAGTCTCTGCCCCCAGACAACTTCAGAGGGTCCCCAGTGTCCCCACATGGGCTGGCTCAGCACTCAGGGCTGGAGGCACAGCCCCCCTCCTGCAATTACCAAGCAGGAGGTGACGGATTTAGAGTGTTTCTGCCTTGATGGAAAATCTGGTTTCTGAAGTAGAAAAGGCTTTTTAAAGATGTTGTGGGAAAGCTAAGAAGCCTGTAGGACTGGAAAGCTCTCCTTATCAGGCTGACTCCTTCCCCTGCCTGCACTGCAAAACCATTTTAAAAGACCTCTTTCTATGTTTGATTTAATTGGGTGAAAACGTGACAAGAGAGTTCAGGTCTGAATAGAGAAGAAGCCAAAGGGATTCCTGAAATGTTGTTTTCTTTTACTCTTTCCTGTCACTGGGATTTTTTTGTGTTGGACCTGCAGCTGGAGCAATTATTGCTGTATATATACCATGTCTTGTAATCATCTTTAAGGAACACCAGAAGTGAGAGGTAGGCACAGATAATGCTCCTTATCTCCTCACCAAGGGCTCTAACACAGAAAACCAGTGTCCACGACCCCGGCCCTTGAGGCTGTGGGCTTTGTGCTCTTGGTACAGCTATTCACTGGTGCAACCTGTGCTCGGAACTGTGCCCAGGGGCTACACACCACTGCTGAGGTTGCCTGATGGCTCCTGAGGCATTAAGGTTACAGGCAGTGTAAGCCTCTGCGTGGGGCTTGCGGTCTGCAGAATACTTGGAGATCCCATGGCAAGTGCTGTGGAAAGTCAGTGTTGTCTTACCATGCCCTGTAGGGGTTAATTCACTGTACACACTTACACCTTAGAGTAAGGCTCTTCTTCAGAAGCCCACAGTGAGCCATGCTCTGAAGCAAACCACAGGAAGCCTGTCTTCAGAGTCGGAATCAGAGTAATGCGAGCTGAAGGCATCTCTGGGGGTTACCTAGTCTAACCCTGTTCAAAGCAGAGCCAGCTTCAAAGCTACATCAGCCCACCTCGCCCTTAAAAATGGATGAGAAGGATCCTCCATCAGCAGCAGTTCTGCATCCTCGCTAATGTTTCATGGTCCATTGGAAAGACAGCCTTGGTGTTGGGAACTCAGCAAGGGGGATGAGGGATGCGCATCGCTCAGGGCTGATGGGACCTACTGGTGTAACCCCCCTGCACCTACCTGTATACGGGATCGTGCATCACCACCATCTTGTTCTCATCCCAGGTCCACTCCTTCCTCTGTAAACAGAGGGCAGAAACAAAGTTGGTGTGTCAGGTAAGAATGAAACTCCACCATGATGATGGGCAGGAGCCCTGAGAATGGTGCCTTTGTCCCAAGCTGGAATCCAGGCTACAGCCTGGCTACGTGATCAATGGCTGTTTCACTGGTATCTTGGATAAAAATAGGTGTCTTTGCTCATTTATCACAGCTGGTTATCTGATCCCAGCCTTCAGGGCTGAAAATGGCCCCTAAGATTGATTTATAGCATCAAATATGCAGGAGAGTAACACGTTTTGGGGAAGAAGGCTCTGAGCCAGGGCTTAGGAAGCTCTGCCTGGGCGGGGAGCTGAGGGATGCTCAGCCCAGGCAGTGCATAAAAAGCCTACTGGTATTAACAAGAAAAAGAACCTATTTCCTGAAATCTTGACAGAAAGCCAACAATATATCCTCTTCCTACAGTGTCATTTCCCTACTCTTTATTCAGTGAGGTTTTGTTATTAGCTTGATGGGAAACGGAGTGTTTTCTTATGAAAATTCAGGGAATTTAAAGAAAAATCAGGGTTTTTAAAAAAGGCCGGTTTTAGTTAAAAGTGTGGCCAGCCCGAATAGTGGTGATACCCAGACATGGTTAGAGCCAACATCCCGGGTGCCCCAGTGGGGCTGGGGAAGTCTCACCTTCTGCTTCTTGCGCAGAATCACCTTCACCCCATCCACAGACACAATGATGCTCACTTTCTTCTTCTTGATGTTCTTGGCTTTGAATTCATACTGATGGGAGGAAAAACCCAGGTTAGAAAAGCGAGTACCTAGGGCAGTGTGTGCTATTAGTGTTTTACATTAAAGTGTTGGATTAGTGTTTAATCCTAGGGAAGTGGGAATTCGTTTTATCCTGCTAAGAAAATCCATGTTGTGAAGGGCTCACTGCCATAGCTTGGATGCTGGGCAGGATCCTGGCTTTGTCAGGAGCATCCTTGGGGAGAGGATAAGCATAGCTCAACCCTTTGGACTACATCCAGAGACTGTAAATTCGGATCCAGGAAGAACTATCCTGATGCATTGGCCATGCCTTGTCCCCTGGGACTCTGCCCCAGAGGCTAGACAGGAGATTGCACTTGCAGCAAACACCACGCAGTGATTTCTGGCATCTCCAGCGCCCTTGTATGTCAGGGCTGCAGTGCATGGGGAATGTGAAATCGCTGGTGAACTGCAGGGAGGGCCAGATGGGTGGCAATAACGCAATCACACCTCAGTCATTTCCATAATCACATTAACCTCAGTGGGCTCAGGAGAACAACCCAGCTCTCACCTGCAGGTGTTTGCTGCCTGAACTCCCCTCCGCTTGTACTAAAAATTAAACTTCTGGCTTTTAAGCTTTGCTTTTGCTGACAGCCACAAGCATGGCAGAGCCCTTCTGCTCTGGAGACCTGTGCTCACAGCACTGATCCCGACTGGCTCCAGTTTAGGCACTACATTTGGCCTCCAAACACAGCATTTCGATGCCTTCTATTTTCCACAGTGCCTATCAGAAATCCAGCATTCCTGAGCCAGATCCTCAATTTATCTAAACCAGCACATCCCTTACTGTCAGTGCAGCTACAGGAACAGCCATCATGTATCTATTAGAGACAGAATCCTTTGGTTTAACTCAATGTACAGTTCCCATAGTGCAGAAGCAGAGGTTACAAATCCCATTTTAATAGCCTAATACTGTCAGTGGTGCTGTAACAGAGGCGGGATGTAGCAAAAGGGACATCGTGGCAGAGCCACAGGTAGCAATGGGGATGTTAAGGGAGTGCAGGCACCTCTTTCAGGAGCCTGAAAAGTGAAGGACTTTGTGTGTGGCTCCGTGTCAGCATTGCAGAGAAGATGATAAGCATCTCTCCAGCTCTTCAGCACCCATTGTAAGCCACACCAGCCTCCTAGGCAGAAAATCGGGTGGCTTTTGTGTTTATCAGGCTTTTGATGCTGCTCATTGAATACTTAGCACTCGGCAAGGTTTATGGTATCAGACAGACCCCAGATTAAACCGCAGCCTTTTGATCTCCCCATGAATTATTACTCTGAGACAAGCTCTTTGAAAGCCTCTCTCTAGCACCGCTGCGTGTGAAGCCAGGGCTAAGTCTGCCATACACGTCTCTATAGGGGAGGAGTGAGATGATGGGAGAGGTGGGGGGAGCATCCTACAGGTTGCTGTGGGCCGGGGGGACCCTCAGGAGATGCACACATCTGGGGGGCTGCTGGTCTCAGCACCCAAGTGGTGCTGGCGACCCCAACCCAGCCTCACTGCGTGCTCCCATCTCCACCAGGCTGGAGCTTCCCCCTCCCCTGCGCTCAGCAGCACCAAACTGTTTCTCCCTGTCTGCTCGCATGCATGTCAATAAAGCCGGGATGGATTGCTCTGCCCACTAAAGAGCTATTTATCTTTCTTTATGCACAAATGGCTGGGAAAATACTAGCTGAGCTTTCCAAGAAAGAGAGAGCAATCCAGTTTATTTTCCCTTTGTAGCAACAGAGGTGCAATTACATTCAAACAAGGCTCTTTACTCAAAGGCTTTAAGCAAAGTCCAAGTCTGGATTTTGCAGAGATGCTTTTTCCTTCTCTCCTGGACAGAAAGGAACAGTCGGGAGCAGTAGCATCCCTGGCTGCTGCCAGGAGTGATGGCAAGTCTCTGTAGAGCCAGGGAACTTCAGCCAGCTGCCACACCACACTGCACCATCCCAGCCTGACTTTGGGATTGGTATGGAGCTTCAGCTCCGAGCAGTCATACAGCCAGCAGGAGCAAAATGATAGCATCAACTAAGTTGGAAAAGACCTTTAAGATTATCAACCATAAACCGTGTCACTAAGGATGAAGGCACACTCTGCCCTGAGCCATACTGGGGTGGCTGGGGCTGGGGCTGCACGTGGGGCAGGCAGGAGCAGAGCTCAGAGCTTCTCCTCTGCCCCAGTGACACACACCTCCCCTTCACACAGCATCTGAGGCAGTTTTGACCCTTGCAATCTGCAGGCAGAACCCTCAGGCTCTGCTCTGGATTGGGCCCTTTGCCACAGCATCATCGAGGAAGGAGGCGCATGAGTTCACTGGTCCTTCTTGCTCCATGCAGCTCATAGCTGCTGCTGCTTGTGCCTTGCTCCTGCATCCTCATCAGAGCACCTACAAACGGCCAATGCATGTTCCCCACATGCTGGGGTCCCAGCCATGGGCAGAATTAGCTTGGCCTGAGGGTAAAACTGATTGGGCCCTAAAATCCTTCCTAAAGGAGCTGTAGGATGGCCTGGACCCAACTGGCTGCTCAGTAACACCAGCTGGGAGAGCACTGTGCTCCCAAGAGCAGGGCTGGGCAAAAGCCCCGTGAGCCCACGCTGCACCAGCTCAGACTGGGCTCTTTCCCCATCTCTACACACAAGTGGCAGATGGGATACAGCTACAGGCATTTAATTGCTTCCTATCAAGCAGGAATCAATGTTTTAATTAAATGTGATTTATGTAAGGACAAAAAAGCACACGGAAAAATGCACTGCAAGGTAGCAGACTTCATCTATTAAAGATGTTGATGTATAAACCAACATATAGCTGAGCCCGAGCTCCTGGCTAACCTGGCACTGACACAGAGAACATCCAGGCACTCATTTTTGTTCTCTTACTACTGAATTGATGTGATTTTCCCCCAGATATGTCAAGGTTACCAACAAACCCAAACCCACACAGCAGCGTGCATCTGCTCTGCTGCCTTCTGTGAGTCAGTCGATACTCTCCTGCTGCCTGCGCTATCCTATGGGGAAAAGCTTTCTGGATGTTAAAGGACCTGGAGTTGCCCTCACAAGTGGTGATCCAGCATCAAGCCTGGCAGCTTTCTTTACTATGGGACAAGATTGGACATTGTGTAAGAAAATGCAGGTCAAAAAAGGGGCAATGCATCTCATTTAATTCTGCAATGTCATTAATTCTCTATCTGACCTGGAATACTTCCCATTTCTGCTTTTAAATCCCCGTGTTCAAGTCCTTGCCTTTCCTACGGTCCCACACACTGTTGGCATGTAATCTTAACTTACCCAGGAGCTAAAGACTCTATGACTAGAAATGTTAATGGTGCTGCGTGATGCATATTTCATCCGATAATTCCACCCAAGCAGATATAAATTACACATGCAGTTACCAGCTTCCATCTGCTGATGAAAGAGATGGGCTAATGCACATTGGAAATCATATGCAGTTTCTAGCACTAAGAACAACTTGCATGAATAGAGTTATTCAAGGAAGCAATTCTTAATGTGATTAATTACTGAAGGTATCAGGGCTTTCATTATGCAAATGGAAACTGTCATAAAATAGAGAGTTTGAAGGTCTTAAAGGCAGCCTCTGTTTCCAAAAAACACATCTCCCTCATTGACAAAGAGCAGAAGGGTCGGACTCGGGAGAGCAGCAGAGCCAGGACATGCTCCTGCCATGGTTCAAACGTGGCTGCTGCTGTGCATCAGTGCTCCCAATCCCTGCTGGGTAAGTACTTTGTGCACCCGAAGATGCTCCAAGCTTGGAAATGGATGGCTTCTCCCTGCAGCTGTAAATCCTCCAGCCAGCCCGTAACCTGCTGTCCTGCCCCTAACCTCCCCTTGCCCTGTCCCGGCCTGGCAGGCTGCAGGATGGATGTGTCCATAAACAACCCCCCAACAATGAGCAGTCCCAGCCCCTTCCCAACCTTTCCCACCGGACAGACACAGGGAGCATGGCAATGAGGAGGTGGAAATCCGCTCGGCTCTGCCCTCCGACAGACCGGCTCCGGGCACCCCAGCAGAACCCAGCGCCCCTGCTCCTGCTCCTTGGCTGTATCCCAGCCCTGTGGGACGCATCCTTCCCTCCCGCTGCCGTGCGCAACCTCCGGTACCGTGTGAGCGCCGCTTTAGGAATAAAAGCCAGGATGAATCCAAGTATTTCAAGCTGAGGAATGTAATTAATTTCAAACCGAACTGATCCGCACGGCATGAGGACACGGTGTTATCTTGACTGCTGTTTGAATTACGGATGCTTGGAACGCTGCCGCTTGGAACCGATGCTACAGAAAACTCCCACGTTCTGCTCCCAGCAAATGCAGCTTGGCCAAACACAGCCGCCCTGGAGCTGACAAACCAGTGCCGTCAGTTCCCATACCCTTTGGACCACAGGCTGTGGTCCAGCCTCCAATCCCCCTTCTGCATCACATCCCACCTTCCCGCAACAGCCTTGTGGGCAGCGGCATTCCAGCGGCTCCCTCATGGCCTCCGGCTGGAAACCGCTGGGTTATGGCCTTTCCTTTGTTCCTCTTGGGAAGCATGTGCCCGTCTGCATCCTATGAACTCCCAGTGCACGCCGGCAGGGCGCACGCTCCGGGGGACATGGCCGGGGTGAATGTGGCCGGGCATAGTCTGGGTCTGTGCTGCAGTAACTGGGCAACACGGACACAAAAGCGACGCAGGAAGCGGTGGAGGCCGGGAGTGCACCTCCTGCCCAGTGGAAAAATGAGAATTTATGATCCTTGGAAACAAAACTGCTCAGTGGAAAGCAGAAACCGAAGGGGGAGGACAATGGGCAAAGAGAATGCTGGCAACGTACCCAAAGTCCGTTTTTATCCCCTCTCATTTCAATTAGCTCCTTCCAGCATCCAACAAGTTCTCTGTAGATACTGCAGCCCAGTCCCCACACAGCGAGCTGGAGGGGGCCAAGGAGCTATCACAGCCCCGCTGGGTTTCTGGGTGTCCCTGGAAGGGCAGCAGGGAAATGTGACCGTGGTTC